TCTATTTTTTGAACTGGAGGAAGAGGTTATGTGGTTATTTGTTTTGTGGCTATTATTTGAATTATGCTTCCCCCCTAAGATGCATGTTATATTTCACAATTTAATTTAGAAAAAAAAAAGAAAATAAAGGAAACCATTGCTAAGATAAACAAACCATAAGAGAGCACCAGGAATGAACAGGCAAATTTGGGAGAAAAGTAGAACTTTTCAAGTACAAATGAAAAATTAGGCTAAATTAACCAAATGCTGGACTATAAAGCAAGTCTCAACAAATTTCAGAGAGAGACAGATTACAGACAAGAAAATGAAATGTTGGAATGGCTTTTAAACTGTAATTCTTTAACCATGCTATAGCCATTCTTGTTGCTCTTACAGAGTTTGAAAAGCTGTGCCCTTGAAGCTTGTGATTTTTAAAGAAAAGGGTGTTTAAAATAGGATAAGCAATACAATAATTAAGATTCAGAAATGATTGTCTCCTTGAGCAAATGCCCTTCTAAGAGAAAATAAAAAATACTTAATTGAACCATAAAACTTTTATTGGTAAAAAGAATTGGTAAAGAACTACTGGTAAATTTTTTTTGGAAAATTTCATTTGAGAGATCAATTTATAAATGCTTATTATCTGAGCAGATAAAGTGGCCTCAATATGAATCCGTTCGCTGTTTGTATCTTTATGAATTTAGTTAACTGTGTCATCACTTCCGTGATGGTTCAAGGTTTTAAAGTATATTGAACTAAAATGGGTTTAAAGAAGTAACTAGGGTCATGCAGATTAACTGACTTTTCTACTTCAGGTATAATTTTATTTAGTATACTAGTAGCCCGGTGCACGAAATTCGTGTACTGGGGTAGGGGGGAAAGGGGCCCCTCAGTCTGGCCTTCACCCTCTCTAATCTGAGACCCCTCAGGGAATGTCCAACTACCTGTTTGTGCCCACACTTTTAACAGATAACAGCTCCATTGTTGTTTCTTTCTTATGCTTAAAACCATTGGAATTAGTAGGTATTCAAAGTGTGTATACATTTTGGGGGGACACCCTGTATATCTCTAGTCAGCGGTGAAAGAAACCAACAGCAGATTTGGAACCCCCAGACAGGGAACCTTGCTCACTCTCCACATGTCTCCCCACTTCACTTTCCACCTTCGTGGGCAGCAGGAGAATCAACGTTTTCTCTCATTAATTCGGAAAAGCATGTCCTGTCACCCGCTGCCCGGCAGGAGTGCTCTAGGCCCCAAGCAAGCAAGGCTCAGTCAGGGCAGCCTTCACTCATGGGTGCTGGCACCCAAAGTGCACATTCCTCCTCTACAGTCGCCCCGACTATCCCACTGTTTCACTGAGAGGACGGAATTCCTCTCTGCCTCTGGGCTCTTGATCTTGAACGCTGACCGAAGGCACCTCAGAGAGGGCCGCCCGTGCCCACCAGGTGTGTCTGTCTGCACCTGCTCCTGCCTCAGCACCTGCATTAACCCCCCAGAGGTGATCTCGTAGCTGCACTGGCCTCCATGTGTTGGGTACCCATATGCAGAAAAACTGGCCAAACAAACTTTGATCCATGCCTTGCACCATACACAAAAATTAACAAAAGTTGATTATAAATCTAAATATAAAACCTAAATTAAATATCTAAAATTAAAAATTGACCATTCCAAGTGTTGGCAAGGATTTGGGGCAGCTGGAACTCTCATATACTGATGACAGGAATATAAAATGGTACAGCCATTTTGGAAAAACAATTTGGAAACTTTTAAAAAAGTCAAGCATATACCTAATGTATGACCCAGCCATTTCTCCCTTGGTTTTCACTCAACAGAAATAAAGCATATGCCCATACAAATTTGTCTGTAAATGTTTGTAAGAGCTTTATTTGTAGTAGCCAAAAAATGGAAACAACCCAAATGAACATTAACAGGTAAAGGCATTAAATTGTGGTCATATACAAGCAATGGAGTGCTACTAAGGAATAAAAAGAAATGAGCTATTGGTACATGCAACACAGATGATCTCAAAACAACTATACTGAGTGAAAGAAGCCCACTGAAAAGTATTTACTGTGTGATTCCACTTATATAAAATTCTAGAAAACTCAAACTAACCTAAAATGACAGACACAGAGCAGTGGTTGCCTTAGAAAGAGGAGAGAGGGGCAGGAGGGAGGGAAAACTCTTTGGGGTAATGGATATATTTGTTATTTTGATTATAGTGATGTTTACATGTCAAAACTTACCAAATTGTACACTTTAAATATGTTCATTTTATTGTATGTCCATATGCCTCAATAAATCTATACTAATAAAAGGGTAATATGCTAATTAGGCCAGACATCTTCTGGACATCCTTCCTGACAAAGCTGGGGGCATGGCCCTGATCTCAGGCCAGGCCTGGGGACCATATCTGCACACAAATTTCATGCGCTGGGCCTCTAGTTTGTTAAAAAAATGTAAAATTTACACATGGAAAATAAACACATGAGAATGTGCTTACCATTAGTTAATAAGGAAAACTAAATTTAAAATCACATTGAGATCCAATATAGTTATTGGGGAAAGGGTACAGCTTGTTTAATATGCTTTCATATTAGAGCAGAAATTTCCCTGATTTAGAAATAACATGAACACAGCCTTTAAAGAAAACAGTCGTATTATTTATTACAATGTTTTACGGAGCCTCTTCTCTGGGGTCATGTCGTCCAGCTCCACCAAGTCATGTGGAACAGTCAGGCGTGTGCCCGTAGGAACCAGGTTTGTTCTCCAATGTTGGTCTTCACGAAAGGAAACAGGGTTCCTTGGTGAGCAATGTATTCCCTGAAAAAGAATAATTCAAGCTGGATTTTGAATTATCTTAACTATTGTCACATAAAAAGAATGTTTTCAACAGCTCCTAATAGGGGGGTAGTGGTTAAAGAAGATAAAGTGGTTGAACGGAGGGAAGGCTACTGGGCACAAGTAGAAACAATCTAAGTCTCAACTAGAAAAGGTTATATACCCACCAAAAACACTAAGATAAAAAGATAAACAACCACAAATGTTGGAGTAAATGGTCTGGCAGTTTCTTATTAAACTATACATACACCTATTCTGGGACCCAACAATTTCATCCTTAGATGTTTACCTAAAAGGAATAACGACATACCAGTATGTTCACCCACAAACAAATTGCACAAGAATATTCACAACAGCTTTATTCATAACTAGAGGCCCGGTGCATGGATTTGTGCACCAGTGGGGTCCCTCGGCCTGGCTTGCGGGGATTGGGCCGAAACTGGCTCTCTGACATCCCCCAAGGAGTCCCAGATTGTGAGAGGGCGGTTCTCGGGTGACGCACCCCAGAATCGGGCTCCCTCCTCTCTAGTTCCGGGTGCATCACCTGAGAAGCACAGCTGCCAAGTTACCACAGCTCAGCAGCTCCTGCATTGAGCATCTGCCCCTGGTCATCACTGTGCATCATAGCTACCGGCCAGTCGGCCGGTGGCTTAGGCTTTTAGATATATACACAGTGTTGTTGTTTTTTCAAGTAGAAACAGCCTGGGTGCCCATCAACAGGAAAATGGAAAAAACAAATGGTGATATATTCATGCAAAAGAATACTCAGCAATAAAAGGAATGAACCACTGATACATGCGACTTTAATCTCAAAAACACACTGAGTGAAAGAAGCATTATGCTTTGCATGATATCATTTATGTAAAATATTAGAACAGGCACATTTACCCTATGAGGCAAAATAACCAGAACAGTAGTTACACCTGGTAGGACGTGGAGTGGATTGCCTGGAAAGGGCCAGGAGGAAACTTCCTGGATGACTGCAATGTTCTGAGTTCTGTAAAGGGTTTGGGTTACACAGGTCTATGCATTTGCAAAAACTCAGCAAATTTATACTTAACATTTGTGTACTTCATTGCATGTAAGTATACATAAAAAATTTAAAAAACTAAACAGTATTACATCGATTTAATGACATGCATGTTGAACTATTAGGGAAAAGTATACCAATGTCTGCAATTTATTTTGAAATAAATCATAAAAGTGGCATGGATAGATAATGTAGAGTGAAAGGTAGAATCCATGTGGTTGGTATTTGGATATTTACCATAAAATTCTGTCAACTTTGCTTATGTTTGAAAATTTTGATGGGGAAAGCCTTTTAAGAGGTTTGGAGGAAATTTGGCGTAAGTTTTTGTCAGCCTAATCTGGGTTTTTCTGATCTCTGCACTTATTCATTGTGGGACCTTGCACAAATTAACTTCTGCAATTGTCATTTTCCTCATTTGTACAATGTAGTTCATACCTCATATGGTTATTCTGAATGCTGAGACAATTCATTTTACATGCATCACAATGATGGTAGACAGAAAGCACTCAATAAATATAACTTACAATTTTTTTAAAAGTATGTACAAGACACAAAACAACTGGTAGAAGAATGTGGGGCACCTTAATGTGTTTAAATAAAGCAATATGATTTCCACACTAGGTAGTTCAAATAACCATAATACAATTTCTTTTGTTTTGTCCCATAAATGTTTTAGAAAGTCAAAGAAAATAATCTTATTGCATTGATATTGTGAGAATATACAGAACCTTAGATCAAGGAGTGAAATGCAGAAATACACCTCTTATCAGCTTAATATCTGGACTTGCTGAAAGAAGCTACCCTGCTTCACCCAGTCTTGAATTAAACACTCAGAAATGTCACCCCATTATGTTTTATGCCTGGCACTAGCACCTGTTAAGTAGGTGGGCACACAGTGAACGTCTCTAACACATTAAGGTAGAGAGGAGGGTTATGGTGGGGCAGGAGGCTATTAATCACAACTTCCCTTCACCCCCAAGAGAATAACAGACTCACACCTGGCAGGTGGCAGAATGAGCAACTGTATGCCACTCGGGGGAAGCTGGGAAGCCCCTACTTTTCGGGGAAGCTTACTATATTATCTCCAGGTATGTGTGTTATCTGTAAATTTCCATATTCTTTGCTATCTTGTGTACCTTTTGCCATCTTTTTATCAACCATCCTGTTACCCATCATGCAGCCCACATTTCCACACAATGTTGTAAGTGCCTGAAACTAAGTAGTAGCAGCTTGTCCTTGTCCTGCAATTGGGCACAGCCCTTCCGTTTGCTACATGGCCCACAGTTCCCTACTGTCTTCCACACGAGGTGCATGTCCTGCCTGGCCCGTGTGGCACTTGGATCTTGGTCTGGTTCGATTTGGGCAGTGGTGAGACAGTAGGAGTTTCTTAGTGGTTGGTTCAGATCTAGACTAGAAGCACACACCCATACGCACCAAAACAGGATGGCAGTACCATTTTATGGACCCTTTTAAAAAATGACAGGAATGTCGGTGGTCAGATGCCTTGATGAGTACATGGGATCCTTACTAGCATTTTATCAAAAGAAGGCACTAACTTAAAGGAGAAGGAGAAACTCAACAAACCTCTTTTGGAAAAAATCTGACAGGATTCAAGTCTTAGGACATTCTTTTCTGACACTCCTGGAAACAAAGATTAGGTTTCATAACTATATTTGCTTTGAAACCCACACAGCACTGCTTTCTTTCTTTTCTCTGGTATTTTTAATCTATTCCCCCTTTTCCAGATTGAAATGAACTGGGCAGGGCCATTTACCTAGTGTCTAATTAGAAGTTTGGGGCTATATCCACCACATGGCAACTATTCAACCACTTTGTAATCACATCATGTCTCTAAAATGCTCTGAAAGCTTCAAATATTAAATTAAATAGTTCTATTAAATGTGCATAAAATGAGAATGAATTTTTCAATTAGTGGATATAAAAGTATTCACATTTCATATATGAAGATAGTTTTATCATCTTGCTCCTGAGGTAATTACTTCTGCTTTCCCAAATGGTTGTAATATGTAGGATCAGATTCAGAAAGATCATATTTTTAGCCCACATATAAGTATTTTCCCTTTTTCTAAAATGTTACCCATCTTCTTTTCTGTTGCACAAAAGACAGTTTTATGTCTACTCCCTTTATTGCTGTAAGTTTGTGGACTCTGCCAGTAATTTCCTGACTTTTAGAAGAGCTAATACGTCTCTCTCCTCAGCCCTGTTGATTATAATAAGGTTGAAATTTCTCTGCAAGCTTCAAGGGCAGAACAGGGCAGAATTTACATCATTCTTAACATGGGTTCAAGCTACAACTCAAGAATTTTTATGTCAATCATCCAACTAAAGTTCCTGTTTTAACCTCAATAGGAATCAGCAATGATTTTTACTGCTATTGCCCCCCCCCCCCTTTTTTTACTAGTTATTTTTTTGAGGCTGAATCAGAGAAATGTTTGGAACATGTGCACTGCAAGCAACTGGATTTCTCAGACAGGAAGCACACAAAAATACTTTCTCCTTTTACTTAGGTTGCATTTATTTAACATTCTAAAGAATGACTATCTGATTTCAAGGATCATATTTAGATCAATTTTAACAAATAAGAAAAAATACTCATTTCACAAATAAGATAAAACCAAAAGTTTTTTCTACCTAAGCAGTTAGTTCCCAAGCTATTCCCGGAACCACCTATCCTTCTACAGAGAGCAAAACTGGTACGACCCAGAATAACTTTACCTTACTGTACTGCCCAAGCAAAACTGGAGGACACACCAACTAGACCGAATGGTGAAATGAGTACAACATTCTTAATAATTAAGAGCTAACAGGCTACATATTAGAAAAAAATTCATTTAAAGTTTGCTCGGAGTCATTTACATTAGTCTATGATAGAAACACAAATAATCAATGAGAACATCAAGCCACGAGAATAAAACCATGGAAGAAAAAATAATTAGTACAAATACAAAATACAGATACATATATAAGGTTTTCTTTTTAACTGTGATGACACATCTTTGGTTCAAAAGTATGCTTTCACATTACAGATCTCATTTCTCATCCTTAAGCAAAGTATGGTACAGAGGACACAGGATTTCTTTCTTTATCTTTTGTATCTTTCTTTTTGTCTTTCCCTCCTAGTATTACCAATCAAAATTCCATACTATCCTTTAAGAGCCACGTTAAAAACCTCACCAATGACCTTCTCCCCAATGATTAAAATTAAGCTGTTCTCAACATTTTATATTTTCAACACCACCTAGCTAAAATCTCTAAAATGCTAGACTTCTTGGGAGAATATTCTAAAAATTCCTTACATAAAATGAAGTTCTCACCACCTTATATGGCAAGAGTTTAAAAGTCATCTGGAGTTAACACAAGATCTTTGGAGAACTTGCTATGCAAATAATAAAAAGGGAGGGCTGGACACAGTTGTTGGGGTGTTTGGCTAAAAGTCTCATAAGTTACATCTCAAAATTAAAAATTTTCTCACTCTTTTTCTCAACTTCTGTTTGTGGTTTCTTCTTCTTCCCCAGGGTCACACACCATCTGGTAAACATAGCAGCTAAAGACCCTGCTGGGTTTCTGTTCTATGTGTAGGACCAAGTCTCTGTCAAAGTAGACTTCGTGGCTGTATGTCTGCAATGAAAACACAGTCAAATGCAATCTCCCCTTCACTATTTACAATAGAACCATATTGACTACTTGTCCCTAAAATGTCACAGCACCTATGCCAGGGATCTTCAAATACACATTTGGAGGCAAAATAGTTGTCATAAAAGGTTTATTTTTCATTATTTGTGGATATGCAGATTACTTACGACAGTGGTCAGCAAACCGCGGCTCGCGAGCCACATGCGGCTCTTTGGCCCCTTGAGTGTGGCTCTTCCACAAAATACCACGTGCGGGTGCGCACGTACAGTGCGATTGAAACTTCATGGCCCATGCACAGAAGTTGGTTTTCGGAAAGGAGATAGACGAAACAAGCATACAAGACGAGTGTGGATGGGAGAGTTGGAAGGGGCCGACCTCAGCGAATGTACCTCAATCAGATTGAGGACGTTTTTAGCAAAGGCCAGCTTAGGAGTACCCTAATTAAGTTAGTAACAATGTACCTACCTATATAGTTTAAGTTTAAAAAATTTGGCTCTCAAAAGAAATTTCAATTGTTGTACTGTTGATATTTGGCTCTGTTGACTAATGAGTTTGCCGACCACTGACTTATGAGAAAAGCATGACACAAAATGCTAAGAATGAAAAGAGCCCTGAACTTAGGAGTCTGAACAGCCAGATTTTATTGCCAATACTGCAACTATTTCACCATGTTTTGGTGGGAAAATTGCTAAACCTCTCAGGTTCTCCACTGATAAAACAAGAATTGGATAAAATATTTCTTATAGCTTTTATATTCTGTAATACTCAGAAGAATAGACAAATGCTTTTAAGAGTGCCTGGAAACACTACATTCTTAGATATGGTCTCTATTAAATAACTGTAAACTTTTATTTTTTAAAATATTAACAAACTTTCAAAATGAGAGAAAACCAAGGACTATGATAAGGAAATAGTCAGCATGTCCCGGAAAAAACAAAGTTTTATCTTTAAGGCCACTAGTAAGGTGACATCCTCTACTCCCTAGGGGAGGCAGTCTTAAGAAGTACTCATTTTGTCCTACATGTAGTCCAGTAACCTCTCTCATGTGGTCATTGGTCTAGGTGAACTTGGACTGACAGATATAGAAACATCAGTTTCAATAAATGCCACCTATAAAGGGAACCCTTACAACTTTGTATTGCATGAACTCTACTCACCACATCCCATGACTCCACCAGTGGAATGCTTTTAAGTAAAGTTCCATATTCATTACAGTGGAAATCAAGGTGAGCTTTTCCTTCGGCATCTATTTGAGTAACAGCTACCACAGAAAGCAAATCCAATTCATCTTCATAGTCCACAATTTTGAAAGTCTTGGGGAATAGATGGATAAGGCAAAGGAAAAGAAGAACAAATCCAGTTATCCAGTTAGGGTTATCTCTACATTTGTAGTTTAACTATTCTACTACTTATGAAAATAATGCAGAAAAAAGAATGAGTGGGTGGGAACATAGGGAGGAAGGTGTCTCTACTTATATGCCTAGTAAAATACCAGTTTCAAGATTTTCAAGACTTAAACAGTATCCCATAGATTTTGACAAACAGAACCAAGTCTATGTACATCTCAGCCAAACTATAACTGAAATTCTCTATTATGAATAGAGAGCAAACCAGAGCTTCTCCAAATTCAAAAGAGATATTCAACTGCTGTCTCAGAATATCTGGTTCCCAGAAACAACTAAATATATAGAACCCAGTTCTGCAACCTGAAGACTGCCCACTGTGCTTGGAAGGTTCTTATGACAGAAAAAAACAAGTCATTTCAAGAAGAACTGATAGCCCATCATATACTATTTAGGATTCTATTTGTCATACTTTTTTAAAAACACACACCAAAAAACCCTTCTTAGTTCCTTAAAGAAAACAAACAAACAACAAAATTGCTGCTTAAACTTGAGGAAGGATATTTAGAATTGAAATTCAACCCACAAAACAGGAGTAGGATAAGAGATATAGGTTAGATTAAAGATGGTAAAGACTCAAGGGAGGAAAACCTGGGACTCCAACAGCCTCGCAGGGAAGCAGATCCATGCCCAGCCATCAGGGATGGACCAGAGAGACATGTCCTGGCAGGCACAGCAAATTTCTCTTAATCACCACATGCAAATCCTCCACTTACATTTGGTCAAACTGCTTGCTAACCCATTTATATTTTCTACCTTTACCACTTATGACATACAAATTTACATAGATTATCTGTGGTTCCTTTTCATTTACTCTTTTGCATTGATCTAAACTTGGTCAAACTTCAAAGTTTGGGTGTACTTTTATAGATTTTAATCACAATCCCTTTCAATTTTCCTTTTCCAGGCTAAAAGTTTTTATTTTCTTATCTCATGATGTAGAGTAGCCCTCTTTGCAACTACCTCCTTCCCTCTTAATTATTCTTGCTACCTTTGGGTAGTTTTGGTATGTCTTTCTTGAATATAGTTTTTTATACAGGATAGGGAGCTTTCTGCTTTGTTCTCAACAGATTTCCTTGGTTCAAAAGAATATATATTTTTTCCTTTTTGACAGTAGCCACATACTGGGCCAACTCCAACCTATTTTTAAAATTTTTCAAAAACTATCCTTAGAAGGTTATTCTAATATTTCTACCTAGAAATAGTACACAAATAATATAGTTCTATGGTCTAAATGGATTTAGTATTTATGCATTGGTTTTATATTTGCAGCATGGTAACTGTCAGTTGATTTCAAAAGTCCTTCCAATGCCTCTTTAAAAGAAAAGGATAGCCCACTGGTGTGGCTCATTGATTGAGTGTCAACCCATGAATCAAGAGGTCACTGGTTTGATTCCCGGTCAGGGCACATGCCCGGGTTGCAGGCTTAGTCCCAGGTAGGGGCATGCAGGAGGCAGCTGATTGGTGATGTTTCTCTTTCATTGAGAAAATCTATCCCTCTCCCTTCCTCTCTCTCTGAAATCAATAAAAACAATAATTAAAAAAGGATAAAAATGTATTAGCTCAGTGACTAGTAATGTCAAGTTGAGGCCAAAGGCTGAACTGATTTACGACCCCTCTTCCCTGGCCCATGAACATAAACAAACATATCCATGTCTAGTAGGTAAAAAAATAAGGTTAAAGCCATAAAGTCAGAAGGAGAAAACTCAAGACTTTTCTAAGAGATTTCCCTCTAAAGCAGCAGTTCTCAACCTGTGGGTCGCGACCCCTTTGGTGGTCGAACGACCCTTTCACAGGGGTCGCCTAAGACCATCCTGCATATCAGATATTTACATTACGATCCATAACAGTAGCAACATTACAGTTATGAAGTAGCAACAAAAATAATTTTATGGTTGGGTCACAACATGAGGAACTGTATTTAAAGGGCCAGAAGGTTGAGAACCACTGCTAAAGTATCCACATTAACACAACAAAACAATAAGCTAATGGTATTTTCAAGTTATTTCAGTCCTATGAACCTTTCTGCAAATAAAACCTTATGAAAAATTCCAATCTGAAAAGAGAGGGTAACGGGAAAGCACTGGTTGAAATAGTATGCACAGTCTTACAGACTAAGTCTACATGGAACTCACCCTCAATCTCTACCCCAGGGTCCCTGTTGGCCAAAATAATTTAAAACCCATAGGGCAAGTACATACTAGTTTGGTTTGTTGTCTCTGGCTAGAGTAATACCTCTTGTTCTGGGTCATCATCCAGAAGATTAAATTTTTTTTTAACCACCCGTCCAGATGCAGTAACAGTGGGTAAGTTTTCATTCTATCAGATGGAGAGAGAAAAAAGATGTGACAAGTCCTAGTATATGCAGTTAATAACGAAATTAATTAGCAAATGTGGTAAAACTAACCAACCCTTCTCCAACATCCATAATTCTTTCCTCAACTGATAAAATTCTGAATCAGCTTTTTGATCCTCCATTTAATAAAAATACTTGTTACTGTAAAGTTTTTAATGGATAAAACACTAAAATAGGCAAAAATAAATACGAAGGTTACAGATTCCCTACTTCACTCGCCCTTCAGACTCTGCTTTAGTATATAGCACAGCAAATAGAGTGGATCTGCTTTTGGAAATTTCCCTCTGTATCATTTCCTTCATATTCTTAATTTGTATGCTAAAAGAAAAGAACCAGCTGGAGTCAAAGCAATGAATTAAACCCAAAGGTTGATAACTCATCAATAACTTAAAGAGAAACCCAGAAAGGAAATAGAAATAAGCAAAAAATACTCAATATAGTCCTGGCTGGTTCGGTTCAGTGGATAAAGGGTCGGACTATGGATTGAAGGGTCCCGGATTCGATTCTGGTCAAGGGCACATGCCCAGTTTGCAGGCTCCATCCCCAGTAGGGGGCATGCAGAAGGCAGCTGATCAATGATTCTCTCTCATCATTGATGTTTCTCTCTCTCTCTACCTCTCCCTTCCTCTCTGAAATCAATAAAAATATATTTTAAAAAATACTCAATATAATAAATTCTCTGCAGATCTCCTATGTACATGGGGTTAAGACCAGCTAGCCACATAGACAAAGTGAACAGACTTTTATAAACTTGTGCTGTTCTTGTCAGTCATGCTAAAGGGCAAACACATCTGCACTATTCTATTCCTACAGAGAAAGACAGTGATACACACAGATTTTAAAGTACTCCTGACTTACTTTGTTCTCTCTGTTGGCCAATATGACAAAATCTTCAGAGACCTGATGCTGGCCACTATTATTTTCTATTTCATTTAGCTTTAAAACTCTGAAAAGAGAAAAAAGGATTCTAAGAACCTAAGACTTCAACTCACCATCAAAATGCCAAAGTTGAACTAGTGAAACTCAACAAATGAAAATTATAGTAACAACACTGAATTAGTTCTCCTCTCCTTCCGATTTTCTGAAATACTAACGCCCATTTATTTACATGTCCATAAATTCTTTCAAATTCAGGTATCTTGTTAAACAGAAAAATGTAGGAATGATGACAAGTGCTACTGAGGTAGGTAATGAAGTAGCATGCTCAGGCTTCAGCCATCTTCCAAACTGGCTTAATGAAAGTTACTTCAAAAAAAAAAACCTCATCTCTGGCATCCTGCAACAGGTCTTTAACGTTTTGACTTTAACAATGGCATTATAGTACAGGCATACCTTGTTTTATTGCTCTTCGCAGATGTTGCATTTTTTTTTTTTTTTTTTTTTTTTTTTACAAACTGAAGGCAAGACCTTCCACCACCAAAAAGATTAAGGCTCACTTTATTGCAATACTTGCTTTATTGCTGTCATCTGGAACCGAACATGCAATATTTCTGAGATATGCCTGTAGATAATTTGCATTTTTATTTCTGAAGATAAAATGAGATATCAATGAACAACACTTGAAGTTAATTATAAGACAGACTGGATTATCAACCATGCTTGAACTAAGAGTTTTCATGAAAGAGTAATATTTAAGAACTGCAAATGACTCAATACTTTTCTTTTTTCTTAAGATTATATTTAAAGATTTGGGTTTTCTGAGTGGTTTCCTTGGATCAAGGGAAAATAAAATAATTTGCTCACCACCCACACAAATCTGTTCACAGCTCTAACAGGCTACAAAAGCACAATGTTTTCAAAGCTTAAAGTCTCAAGTGCAGGCAAAGAGAACAGCAGGGAGAAGCAGCTACTGTGGCCAGGAAGAGCCAGAGGCCTTAGAGTTTGCCAGATATAAAGAAATCAGATTAATTTTAAATTACCCAATTAGCTATCTTAATTAGTGCGGATATTGTATAGTGCCTATCTATTAAAACCTGGCAAAAGGCCACATATTCTCTGTGGACTTTATTTTCTTTCTTTCTTTTTTTAAAAATATATTTTATTGATTTTTTACAGAGAGAAAGGGAGAGGGATAGAGAGTTAGAAACATTGATGAGAGCGAAACATCGATCAGCTGCCTCTTGCACACCCCCCACTGGGGATGTGCCCGAAACCAAGGTACATGCCTTTGACCGGAATCGAACCCGGGACCCTTCAGTCCGCAGGCCGACGCTCTATCCGCTGAGCCACATGGGTTAGAGCAGGACTTTATTTTCTTAAACTCAAACTGCCCTAACTGGTTTGGCTCAGTGGATAGAGCGTCAGCCTGTGGACTGAGGGGTCCCAGGTTCGATTCCAGTCAAGGGCATGTACCTTGGTTGCGGGCACATCCCCAGTAGGGGTGTGCAGGAGGCAGCTGATCAATGTTTCTCTCTCATCGATGTTTCTACCTCTTTATCCCTCTCCCTTCCTCTCTGTAAAAAATCATAAAATATATTTTTAAAAAAACAACTCAAACTAATATTAAGAGATGGGTGGTAACAAACATTAAAAGTAAGGTTTACAAAAGCTGAGCCAGTTTTTATAACTTTTTGTAAAAGTTCACAATCGTATTTCATTAAGACCAGTCATCCTCCTTATACTCAGTCCAGAGAAGTAGACGAATTAACGTGGAGAAGACACTCCCTTCTTACTCACGAACACTCACTGAGCACCTTAGTCTTGGCTAAGCACTGTGCTCAGTGCTAGGATTAGAGGAGTCAGAAAAACAGACTCTTTCCCTGTATTTATGGAGCTCATGATTCCAAGTCTAGATATTTAAACAGATGTTCACACAAATAATTAGTTAAAATTGCTCTAAGTGCTACAGAGGAAGATTACATAGCTGGTGCAATGAAAAGACGATGAGGAGCTAATCTAACAAAGGTTTCAGGAAAGGACTCTGTGGAAAAGGGACATTTAAACTCAGGCATTAAATATGAACAGATATTAGGTAGAAGAATAGCTCAGGGAAGCAGACTCCAAACACAGGGAACAGGTCCCCGTCTTTCTGAAAAGAGGATGACTGAAGTAAACTGAGTCAGAGGAGGGTATTTCAGACCATGCCAAGAGCAACAAGAAGCCATAACAAGGTTGAAGCAGAATTCACATGGTCAGGTTTTTGTGTTTGTTAATGTTTCTAAAAATCACTCTTAGCTGCTGAGAAGAAAACAGACTTAAAAAATGCAAAAATGGATTTTTGGAGTCCTGTAAGTACACTATTAAATTACTATGGTCCAGGCCAGTGATGACAGTGGTCTGGCCAAGATGATGACAGTGGCCAAGGGCAGAAAGTGGCAGATTGAAGAAATATTTAGTAGCAAAATAAACTGCACTGACAGAGAGAGAGAGAGAGAAAGAGAGAGAGAGAGAGAGAGAGAGAGAGAGAGAGAGAGAGAGAGAAGATGTGAATGTTTAAGTATATGTACCCTGATGAAAGACAAGGTCAGAAAAGTGCCAAGAATGATTCCAGATTTCTAACATGATCTTAGTTGAGAGATTTGGGCTAGAATAACATTTTTGGAATTTTGTATACACGATCTTTGAAGCCAAGGGAATATAGAATTCTGGAGAGAGAAAAAAAAGAGTGAGAAGACCAAGTCCTGAGGACTTCTAACAAAGTTTGAGTAGAGGAGCATGACGTATACTGAGAAGGGCAGATCACAGAGAGGGGGACACATTTAGGAGAACTGTGTCAGAGAAGCCAAATGAAGAGGGTTTCAAGGAAGGAGAGGACAACTCTTGGAAAATGTGGGTTAACAAGGTTTACTTCAAACGATCTGCTACCTCTCCTATGGCAAGGCTGTTATTTAGAACAAAGATAAATCATCTTTGTTCTCATTAATCCTGGAGAACTAAGACCTGATGAGGATGAGCCAATCTGCCATCTTCTTTACTTTTAAATCATCCATCGAAGAACTTACTCAAAGATAATATTATAAACAGTAATGATGAGGCTGAGGGAATAGCCAGGTTTTCCAGATGTCCGTCTCTGAGGAAGCACTCTATAGGCATCTAATTATTTCCATAATTTGCTCAGCAATTAGCTAGTACAAAAATAGAGATCCCAGTAAATGTTACCAAAAGCTACTTTTAATTTTAAAATAACTAATGAAAATACTCACTTGACCTGATTTGGGCCAACATGTATTATTCTTCCAGAAGCATCAGGATGAAAATAGATCCAGTCAGATTCTAGAGAACAACATTCCATTTCTTGGATCCCATTTTTAGCCTGAAGTTGGGAAAAAATATTGAGACTAAAGATTAAAAGAAAGGAATTTTTTTTTTCTTTCAAATCTAAGAGCAGTGACAGATCAGTAAGTCAAAGGTACAGGGAAGAGAAAATATTAACCAGTTGAACTGGGATGTGTATAAGGGCTGAATTAGGACACTCAAACTTGAGAAATCTAAAACATTTATATTCAGGAATCTCATAGATTTACCCTGTACCAAATATTATACCTCATAAAAAATCTCTTAGTTACCATATCTCAGACACACCCAATTTGTGTCAGCATCAGATGTTTTACATTCATTATTTCATTTGATCTTACAACATTCAAAGCATATTTTGTTATCTCCACTTTATGGGTGAGAAAACAAAGAGTATAAATCATTTTCTCAATGTTTAGCATCTACTAAACAGCAGATTTGACTCCAAAGTCCATGGACTTTCCATTCTATAACCTTGCCATAATTATGCTCATGCGGTCCCCTCCCTTCCCCATCCCTAACAAACCGTCACTCAGAAGAGTGGATACATGAAAATAAACACGTAACCAAACCTAAAATCTCAGGTCATATGATCTCCTTGGATAAGCCAGATATTAAACTTCAATGCTGAGGAAATGGTCTAATACTGCTTAGCCTTTTAGACCGTGGAGACATTTATTTCACAGCAATCTATTTAGACATTAAAATCACCTCCATGATATGTTATCACATATGCACATATATGTGTTTTGCTTTATACACAAGAGCACTGGGAACCATTATCAGCATGAATACTAGTACATTAACTTCACTAGCTTTATCTAAGTCACTTAAATTCTTTAATTTTTCCAATTTAAAATAAAATAATACCATCTTTCCTATTTGACACTCATGAAAGTTTGTGAAATATTAGTGAATTTATTCCAGGAGCATATATTGACAGCATGCTATGTTTTAGGTGTCACACTAGGCATTTATACTTGACGTGACGTGAACGTACAGTAATCCTTGCCATCAAGAAGCCCATAATCAAGAAGGGGGGCAGAGAATAATAAGGCAGCGTAAAAAACAAAGTGATCAAGCATTCAACCCAGGTGAGCAGAATTTCAGGAAGAAAAAAAGCTTAAACTGAAACTTCCAGGATGAGCAGAAAATGACTAGAAAGAAGAGAGCAAATTCAAAAGCACCGAAGTATTCACCTACCTAGCGTGTATGTGCGTGAACACGAGAAGCAACCAAAATTAAATTAAGGAAAACAGTGTCCAGCCATGAGACAGGAGCAGGAGGCTGGGGCTATGTCACAAGTGCTTTACATGCCATGCTTTTCTAAAAATTTGAATTGAACACATTTTATGTATCAAGTTAGAGAATGAGTTTTAATTTTCCAGAATTTAATAAATATCCTCATAGGAATGATGATATTATTACATTTTATAAGAATATCAACGCAATTAAGCATCTTGGATGCAACCACTGAAATTAATGTGTCTATGATGGCATTAGCGCCAGATGCTCCTTCAATATAAAATATGTACATACTATACATATCTTTCTTTAGGAGATTATTCTCTTTATTATAATATCTATAACACACAAAAGAAACACCATCCCTCTATATTAAACACTATGCAGTATTACAAACTTTGTAGTGTTTATTTGTTCAAATGCTAGATTTTATTTATTTATTTATTTATTTATTTATTTATTTCAAATGCTAAATTTTAAAGCACAGTTTAATAGAAGACTCTGACACATGTACTGAATTCTTCAGTTTGGATGCATATGTGCTTTGGGATTATCTACTCTTCCGACTGACAGGTGGAAGGTAATGGGCATATGCATCATTATGTCACTGCAATAAAGCTGTCTAGCAAAAGGATTGAAACTTCCCCTGGATTTGGCAATTATTTATGAATATATTAAAACACAGATTTGACTAAAATCTGTATTTTAATATATAGTCTTAATCAATTATTACAGAAGGAGAGCCCATGCCAGACATGCTTAATATGGATACTGAAAGCCATTTTACACACACGAAAGAATATGTCTTATCAGTTCTTATGTAAGAAGAGTATGTACTCAATATCCACAATGTGAACTGTGTAAGGTTGGGCTGGAAGAAAAAGTTAAGTAAAAAAAGAGATACGCGAGGTCCTGTCAGCTGAAGGATGTCCTCTGCTTGGGAGGTGAACAATCAAACCAGACTTGTCACGGCAGGAAACAGCCCCTCAAGAGTGCACCGCAACAGAGGATACCACTGGGCGGGGCCAAACAGGAGCTGTTTTATGAGGTAGGTAAATGAAAAACAGAGGGAACCATAATCCTGCAAAAAGAAAACCAGAAGACACTGTACATAGTGTTCCCTGCTGGCCACGACATCAAGGGCAATAGATAAATGAACCCAAGACTGTGCTGATCTTCAGCATGGTAAAAGGTGACCTGTACTCTAAAAGGCTCTGGGTCCAACAGCAACTGAGCAAGATCCTGAAAGACATGGGTGGAATAAGCTGAGTCTGCCTCAGAAAAGTTCATTTGATTTATCAAGAGGTTCCAGAAATAAACAAAACTAAACCAGAAATACAAAACAAATATGGAATGTACACTCATTCTTTTGCACTTACCTCAATCACTGTACTTAACAGACAGCATCTAATTTATCTACATATTTGTGTGTGTTTTTGAGAGAGTAAGCAACTTGAGGAAATGTGTCCCAGCCATGTCTGGCACACAGTTTGCCCTCAATGATACTTATTAATTGATAAATCAATGCCCAAAATCACTTTTTAAATGAAGAAAAATAGATTTAATGGATGGAAATTTCTTTTGTCTTACCATGTACCATTTCTTCCTATTTTGCCATAAATAATTTAAGAATAGCCTTGAAAGGTCAAAGTGTTTCATGGCTTACATTGTGAACACTCGAATTTTACCTGGTTCTGTTCTGGAAAGCAACAAACCATGAAAAAGCAGAGCCAACAACACATTCCACCAGCAATTTCAGAGGCAGCCTGAACATATTTCATTGATTCCCACCATGAAGCTTTCAGAGACGATTTGCATGGGCTCCCCCGCTGGGAGACTGGTAAGGAAAACACCTAAGTAATCTCTGCTGCCCTAAGAATTTTCAAATGCTAATGTTTTTAAATTCCAGGTAGGACACACAAGCTTTTGCTGTATTCTTTGTAATCTTCAGTACTACACATTATTCACAAATTAATACAAACAAAAAGTAACTCAGGAACGTGAACTTATTAGAGAAGCAGAGAAAGAATTTCTGATACGAATTTACTACTAAAAGGTCTGATCACTCATGATTTACCAAGGAGTTGTCTTTAAGGGCACAAATATGGAAAACTCCCTTCTGCTTCTTCTTATTAGGTGTGATGATGTAGTGCCAAGGGTGGCCTCCAATCTGAAAGGCGTTCTCCAGGGAGGACACCTCAAAGAGCGGTGGTGGCGTGTCTGTAGACATGGGCAAAAGCAATTTATTAGCTTTCTCTGTTCTGGTAGCTTTGGAACATTCATTAGCTGAGTTCAACCTTTCTTTGCATGCATCATCTATGAGTTTCCATTAATGAAAAATTACCGTGTTCAAGAAAATAAAAAACAATCAGGAAACAGGCTTATTGCTAAGAAAAGAGGAAGCTGGTAGAAAACAAATGTTAGGCTATGAGTCAACCTTCTAGGAATCTGTTTTCGGGGTAAGTGTGACCTGTAGTTGAGTGGAGATAAAAGTGGGCTGAAGGTGCTTATGATGGAAAAATGACAAAGTACAGCCAATAAAAGCAGCTACCATTTACTACGACGCATCTGCCGTGTACAAGGCTGGGTTAGATACTATTTCCAACTCTCATAACAATCCTGCAAGATAATTAGGTCTAATAATTCCTTCAGTGTGAGGAAGACATCTTCCATAATCTAGACTAACAGGTTAAACTTACCAAACTTTACAAGAGCAGTCCTGCTTGGGATTTCCAGCGTGGAAGTGATATTAGTCACAGTGAATGTAAGCAGTTAGGATAGGCCCTGTCACGATGGAAGCTTTATTAAAGGATAGCCAGTACTACTATATTATTATTAGACAAGTTTACTTTAAAGGAGTTTAGGTACATCTAGTCAGTCACTGGCTTTTGGAGATTGACATCATATGAGAAATAAAAGCAACCTCGTTTTATTGCGTGTTGCTTTATGGTGCTTCATAGGTGCTGCATTTTTTATAAACTGAAGGCAAGAACCTCCACCAGCAAAAGATTCTGACTCACTTTATTGTGATACTTGCTCTGATATGGTGGTCTGCAACTGAACTCACAGTATCTCTGAGGTATGCCTGCGCTTGCTTTATTGTGATGGTCTAGAACTGAACTCACAGTATCTCTCAGGGATGCCCATATCTGTTGGTGTTTCTTAGTCGTCTTCGATGACAATTAATTTTAGGTAGAGGTAACAGATTTACTCTTACAGAAATACATAAGCGGAAGGCACGGCATCTTTAGAAGATCAGAATTCCTTTTGGGCAGCCTGTGAAGCACCACATGGTCTATTTGAGCAAGTGGCTCATCTATGATTCCTTTGTTTAGCCTTTTACTTGAGAGTTTAATCTTTGGTTTATGAGGCCACCACTGTCAGTAAAGGGGCTTATCTTAGGGAGACCACTTACTCATGTTATTATAGAAATGTGTGCTTTATAAGGCCTCTTCATAAGCACAATTTACTACTATACATAGGTAACAGCTATCGCCATACGGGAGAACTATGAGTGTTTATATTTTCTCTATTTCATTTAATTTCATTTTCTATTTTTTCTGTAGTAAAAATAAACTGCTTTGTCTGGCCGATGTGGCTCAGTGGTTAAGCATCGACCTATGAACCAAGAGGTCAGGGTTTGATTCCCAGTCAGGACACATGTCTGGGTTGCAAGTTCAATCCCCAGTGTGGGCCGTGCAGGAGGCAGCCGATCAATGATTCTCTCTCACCATTGATGTTTCTGTCTTTCTCTCCCTTTCCCTTCCTCTCTGAAATCAATAAAAAAAATAAATATTATTTTTAAGTTTACTCATGTGATTTTAATATCTCTTTCCAAATATTAAATCACATCATTGTATTCCCAAGATGAACTCTGGTCAGTCATGGTTTATTTCTTTTAACATACACTGCTGAATCTGAGTAATATTTAATTTCTTTTTTATTAAACTGCTGAATTTGATAAGCTGGTTAAATAGAGAACATTTTTATTATATTTATAGAATTTAATATAATTTTATTTTTTGTGCTTTCTCAACCATTAAGTATACTAGGGGGTTCTCTCTGTGTCTAAGCTCTATATTCAGATAGAATGGCAATTATATTTTCCTTGGAAAATACCTTTCTTAGAAGTAGGGAAAATTGTAGAATTGCAAAATAGTAAGTGAAGTGGGGGCAAAGATAGTAACATTTGCTGCAACTCATCATTTTGCAGATAAGGAAATCCAGACTAGAGAGGTTAAGTGACTTGCCAAAGGCCATTGATCTCTGGCCAAGCAAGGCTCAGCATCTCATCTCCAAGCCTCAGTTCAATGAATGAAGGATAGATTTTTCTTGACATGTATTCAATAGCAAGGAGCATGCTGTATAAGAGTAAAATGAGTTGAGTTTGTAATTAAATTATAAGAAAAACATTTGGGTGATTACAATTAATAATTTACACGACTACTTATTTTTAAAGGTGAAAAAATACTATATAGTAGCCATACCTGTGAGTTTAATATTACAAGGAATGCCAAAAGGAGCCTCTCCCACAGTTCCAGCAGTCCCACCCCATCTGCATGCACACCCTAAGTCAAGTTTCTGTTGCATGAACTAAAAACAAAACAAAACAAAAATGGTGTCTTTAGCACCTACTTATTGCTGTCTGGAGAGAGAAAAATTCAAATTCACATGTATATGACAGAAAATGTCTTTATTTATTCAGGGCTTTTATGTTTATCTTCCCACCCCTCTATTAAAGGTTATTTTGTCTTTCTGCATTTCCTGAATTTTTGTAGAGTAGAAATTTACACAAGTGTCTTACTTTAAAAGCATCTCATTAAAAACACCATACTTCAGGCCAAACCTCAAGTTAATTATAATAGGCAAATTCCAGTTTTCTCTACCTGTTCAGTGATGGCTTGGAAGCTATAGAGTCTGACCAGTCCTGAGCCGTACATCACAATCAGTATTCCATGAGATAAGGTAGCATCTGTAACGTTCCCGAAAATCTGAGGGGAAAGGTAGATATCACCTGAGAAAAGACCAGAAGGCCAATCCTCTGAGTGTTCACAGTGGTTTATGCATTTGCTTAATGTTCAGGCTACCACTACAATACTGCTGCCTCACATCATAAGATAATTATAACTTAGAAACTTGAAATTAAGGTGTTATTAGGGATGAGTGGTAAGCCACTGGAATCTCACACTGAAGCACTAATGGGAGATGCAGTAGCATTCATCTGCTTCATCTATTTGCTTCAGTTTTGTCAATATCTTTTAATGACAAATTGTATTCCTCATGGATATGGCTTTACATGAATCCATCTAATTCTAAATAAATATTTACTCTACCATGCATAGCCTGCCAGGGACCTGTTCTTTGTGCTAAAATGTTATTTATAAAGAGACTTAATTTTTTTTTAGCTAATTGGAGGGGGAGAGATTAGATCTAAAAAGTAATTCTAATAAGAAACAGCCAGCTCCAGATCTTTATTATTACCTTGTTCTCTAAATCTTTGATAGTGTTTAATTTTTTAGTCATGTAAAAACCAAACAAGTTAAAGACTAACCACCTATTATTAATTAATAATAATTAATTATTATTAATCTAATAATTCAAGTAAGACTTTGGTTCATTGCTCCCTTTCTGTTTCTGTGCAGTGGACTTGGTCATGATTCTCCATAGAAGTTCTGATGAAGAACTTGATCCTATGCTTATTTTAATATTTAACAAAAGCCAACATAGACAAATATTTAGAGCAATAAAAGAATAGAAATTAAGTGAAAATGGGTTTCTATTTCTACTCAAGACAAGTTACTGAGTAAAGATTTACTACCCCAATAAATAGCTTAAAGTACATTCCAGTCTGGACCCTGGGTAGCCTGATCATGCATGGTAAGTGAAAGATATACTTCAATTCCAAGTCAGCATATTGAAACCATATTCCTCAAATGATAATCTTAGCCATATGAGGATAAATAGAAACAATTTATGACTTCATTACGTGTTCATTCCTGCTGTAGACTGTAATTAGAATAGACAGTTACTTAATCTACAAGCACAAGGAGGACAATTATGTTCATGAGTTGTGTGTTTTGGTTATCTCTTAGAAGGTAAATTATAGTTTGCTTTGATCTTGACTAGCTCACGACTTTTTTTTCACTGACCCTGGGTCCCCACTATGTTTGCGTAATACAAACATAGTTTCAGTTATTGAGTGCTATAATAAAATAGCCACTCTATCTTAAAATTTGGTTTGTAATTTGGAGTCAAATTTAGTTTAAAATTCCAGTTCCTCCATTTATTGCCTGCTTAACTTTCTACTTGAATACATTATGTTATAATGTCATAAAATGCTCAAAGTGCCTGATACAAAACAATTAATAAATAACTATTATTCTTCAGCCAAATTTTTGTGCACCCGGAGCCTCTAGTATAATATAAACTTTTAAAAACTACATTCATCTTGTTTGCTACTGAATACTAGTGGTCTGTCAAGATCTGTTCTCTATAATACTTTAGGTGCTTAATTAGAGACTAGTAGAAAAGGCCCTAGCTGGTTTGGCTCAGTAGCTAGAGCATCGGCCTGTGGACTGAAGGGTCCTGGGTTCAATTCCACTCAAGGGCATGTACCTCGCTTGCAGGTTCAATCCCCGGCCCTGGTTGGGGCACAGGAGGCAACCAATGGATGTGTCTCTCTCACATCAATGATTCTCTCTCTCTGTCTCTCCCTTTCCCTTCCACTCTCTCCAATAATCAATGGAAAAAATATCCTCAGGTGAGGATTAACAACAACAAAAAGACTAGTAGAAGAGACCAACAAATAACTATTCACTTAGAATAAGTAACAATTTCTTAAAAGAAAGTGGGAGGCTATTGATTCTTTTACTCAAAGGAAATTTGTCCTTCTTTCCTCCCATATAACCACCCACAAACCAATAAGAATGGCAATAACAATAAAACATAAAACTTAATGAGTTGGAAATGTACATATTTAATTATAAGACTTGTTTATATATCATAAGTTTTAGATCTATACTTTGCAATTAAAATGAGGCTTTTTGTTACAGCTTTTCACCTTTATTTAATGATAATTTTAACAAACCTGGGAATAGTCCTCTGGAAAAATACCTTACTCATTTCATAATTTTATAAAATAGTGGTTTGTTAATGACCACTATTCAACACTATCCACATGAGAGACACAAAAGCATGCAGAAAGATGAAGGAATGATTAGGCTCTCCTCCCATGTTAAATGTTCTCATATATTTTGAAATAAAATAAACTAGGTCAGCAAGCTTTTTATAGTCAGGGGAACATTTCTAATCACACCTACTAAACAAATAATTAAATCAGAAATGAGCACTTACCTTTTTGTTGATCTCCAGAATCCCTATGAGTGAAAAAGGTAGAACATGGAACACTGCAAGGTACAGCAAAACAGGCTGTGGAAGGCCTGCCTAAAAGGAAAGACTGAAATTACAGGCAGCTCTCAAGGGTATTTCAGAAGCACTCGTTTCCTGAGCTGAGAACATCCAACTGTCCTAGCATGCAGTTATAGATGGTTTCACGAATGGAAAACACCCATCTGTCTACACTAGAGTTATTTAAACAGAGATTCATACATGTTCAAAATATCTCCATTAAAATGTTCACCCTTCAGTTATACATATGCACATATACACAAAACTTATAAAAGTAAATATAAAACTAAACATTTCTTAGCAACAAAATATAGTTTATATTCTATACAAAAACATTTTATATACTGTAAAACAAAACACATATTACATATTATATAATATATCCCTATATTATATTATAAATTATACGTTTATGTTCATATAAAATAAATTAATACATTATATTTTAATGTAATATTAACAGTTAATATTGTAAATTGGAATTCAAACAATAAAGAGCCTAATTGAAAGACACATGGTTACTATGGTTATATCATTTAAAAGCAGTGTTACTCTGACATATCTACCGTAATGAAATGAGAAGAGAGTATCGACAATAAAAGCTTGAGTGATTTCTCTGCTTGAAGAGGATGGCTTCCTTACTTTGAAGAACAAGATCCAGTCAATTTCTTTCTACCATGGAATGTAAAATAGTCAGTACTAGCCCACAGTGGTTTAAAGGGAATTTCTGAAATTTGTGGTAAACAACTTGTATAGCATGGTTCAGAAAACAAAGATCACTAGTTCTTTTATGACAAATCAGCAGACAAATCCCTATGGAAAAAACAAATTCTTCATTTTATGAAATGTTTAAAGATGTCTACCTGCCGGGTCAATGCTGAGCCTTTGTTCTGAGCTGACTTGACTGCAATGACTTCTTGAGGAGTGTCCCAGCTCAAGTATCTTTTAAAAGAATGAAGCAAAGTTTATTCATTTGGGGGTGGGAGGAGGCTTCCTTATACTTAAATCAAAATATAATATATATTTTATGTCAAATTTAAAAAAAATGTTTTATTGATTTTTATTTTATTTTTTAAAATATATTTAGAGAGGAAGGGAAAGGGAGAGAGAGAGAGAAATGAGAGAGAGATAGAAACATCAATGATGAGAGAGAATCATTGATCGGCTGCCTCCTGCACACCCCACACTGGGGATCAAGCCTGCAACCTGAGCATGTGCCCTGACAGGGAATCGAACCGTGACCTCCTGATTCATAGGTCGACGTTCAACCACTGAGCCATGCTGTCTGGGCTGTTTTTATTGATTTTTAGAAAGAGAGGAAGGGAGTGGGATAGAGAGAGAGAAATATCAATGAGAGAAACATCATCAATCAGCTGCCTCCTGCACTCCCCCATCCCCCGCCCCCCTTACTGGGGATTAAGCCTGCAACCCAGGCATGTGCCCTGACTGGGAACCAAACTGGTGACCTCTTGGTTCATGGGCTGACCCACTGATCCACACCAGCCAGTCATATGTCAAGTTTTTTAATTATTTAAATTATAAAAGCAAAGCAATTTATTTTAAAAACAAATAAATAGCTAAAAGAATTCCCTCCCAATCCTTATATGAAAATATTCTTATAAAATATATAACTTTAATCCTTCTGAGTTTTGATAAAAATTGTTTGATCTAACAGTATTCAAACTTAGAAAACAAAATAACCATTTTATATAAAGTATAAAAAATATTACTTTCACGTTTTGAATGCACATACTTCAAAATTTACATCTAGTTTATAAAACTAGTTGTTAAAATAACAGTTCTTAGATTATACTAGATGGGTAATTTAACTGAAACAGACTAGCCTTCAGGAAAATCTACCATAAAGTGCATCTTACATATAGAATACTATTTGTAGACTAGAGGCCCGTTGCATGAAACTTGTGCAAGGGGCTCGGCCCTTGCAGCAGCACTGGCTTCCTACAGAAGGTCATCAGGAAGGTCGGCTTCCTACAGAAGGTCATCAGGAAGGTCGTCTGGTCTAATTAGCATATTATGCTTTTATTATTATAGATGGAAAACACAAGACTTTTTAAAAGTTTATCTGCCAACTACTACAGGTTCGCTACTGATAAGGATACAAAAAAACATTATAAAGGGTCTTTATCCTCAGAACTTCAAATTTAGTCATGAGGAGAGAAAAAAAGAATAGATTTATAAATTGAGATCCAGATATGCAATGGAAAACTAAAACACACACACATGTGCGTGCAACACACACAAAACTTGCTTTGAGTTTCCTGGGCCACAAGTCTCAAATTTTTATAATAAAATCTTGAATAATAAAGTCACAAATAATACCTGAATTTGCAATACGAAGCAAGATATATTTTCTCAAGGACTTTTCCCGTACTTGCTGATATACGAAGTAGCCAGTTATGGGCTGTCAGTGCTATGAGTGAGGATTTATAATCTGATGGATTGGGCAGCATTTCCCCCTAAAAAAATGAGATGGAAAAGTAAAACTACTTGGCCATGAACAATCTGCAGTACTCAATGCCCAAGGAAAATAGCCAAGCACTAAAGAAATAGTCAAATAAGTATATCAAAGAAATAATAGTAAATGCTCAAATACACAAATAAAGAATTAAGACAAGGAAAAATAAGGTTGTGGGTAATTGTTTCCTTTTCTTTTTTTCTTTTTTGTGGGTTTTTCAAATCACATTTATTGGGGTGACATTGGTTAATAAAATTACATAGGTTTCAGGAATACAGTTCGTGGGTCATTATTTTCATCATTAACTTATTAAGTGAGTCTATTCACATAAGCACTAAAACAGTACGTGAAATAACATATTACTTATTATTATTTATCATTAAGTATTCAACAAATGTTAACCAATCATTACAATAGTAGTAGGAGTATTACTAGTGCTGCTGCTGTGATAAGGCTGATAACAACAATAACAAGTTCTTAAGACCATGTAGAATAGCATAACAATTAAGAGTCATCATTAGAATAGATGTTTCTGAGACTTGTTTTCCTTTTGACAGAAGTCAAAAGGGCAAATTATCCCATTATTCACTGTGGCTCCATTCTAGCTCAGGATGAAAAGTTATAATCCAGAATCAAGGCAGCCCAATGAGAACAGAAGATGGACCTGGTTTAACCTACGTCACCAAGGAATTACACCCCCAAAAGGAAGAGGATAGCTGCCTGGTGCACCTGCCGCTGCAGAGCTACCACCAGGTGGAAGTCTAAGACAGGAAGACAAAGAAAGCAAAAGGTTCTATTTGATTTGTGGAATAAAAAGGAAGTTCTAAGAGGAGAGTTACAAATAAGGAAGTTAAAATTAATCTAGTATTTGCTTAGGCAGTAAGTGAACAGAAAAAAATGACGGCATAGTTATTTTATACATGCTCTCAAAAGTTTGTCTTCCCTTTCAAATGTTAGAAAAAGAAATAAGAGATACTTTTAAAATCAATTTTTTATTATATGGTGTGTTATATAAGTATCATCTAATGGAGATTTTAAAGTTTTTAAAAATGTAGTATTTATACCTTGCCTATTAAAAAAAAGAATATGAAGGAGCATATATAATAGGTTTGAGCTATTTTCCTAAACCAAAAGTTATATTCCACACATCGTCTCAGAAAAGAATGGTGCTAATTTAAATATAGTTTCGCATCAATATGTTAAAAACAATGCAATATGTTTCTTATTTTTCTTAATGGAAAATCTTCACTTCAAACGAGAACAAAATGTTTAACAAGAAGTGACGCTAGGAATTAAGTTACCTGAAACTCTATTTTTACAAGACTGCTCTAAATGTTTAGGTGCTTTGTACTAGTGTCTTCAAAACTTTTCTCAATTAAGAAATTTGTCCTCATCCTCCCTGCACCAATGAAAATGGATGCAAAAGGCTTTCTATGTTGGGGCACATAGAAACAGTTATTTTTAGGTTTCAATAAGGAGTTGGGGAAGAAAACATAGATTTAAAGCTTTCTGATTTTTAAAATGGAGCCTTCTGTGAACAGAAAAAACATGTCCAGGAAAAAAGAAAGCTGTAGCTACAGAAAACTACAATTCTATGTAAAAACAGTGTATTGTTTTGTTTTCTAAGTAATTTTAATGGGCCCTAACCGGTTTGGCTCAGTGGATAGAGTGTCGGCCTGCGGACTGAAAGGTCCCAGGTTCGATTCCGGTCAAGGGCATGTACCTTGGTTGCGGGCACATCCCCAGTAGTAGGTGTGCAGGAGGCAGCTGATCGATGTTTCTAACTCTCTATCCCTCTCCCTTTCTCTCTGTAAAAAATCAATAAAATATATTAAAAAATAATTTTAATGGTAAATTCAAAGTAGAGCTTTCTAATCCTTTAAACAGTATTTTTGGTCACATATTGTGAGTTCTATTTTCCCTAAAGAACAACCAACCAGATTCAAAGACCTGATTAATTAGTTGTAGTGTTTCCTCAGTGTATTTCTTATTACACTGATTCCAGGGAAGACTATTATTTAGAAATATACCTAGCCCTAGCCGGTTTGGCTCAGTGGATAGAGTGTCAGCCTGTAGACTGAAGGGTCCCAGGTTCAATTCCACTCAAGGGCACAAACCTCGGTTGCAAGCTCCTCCCCGGCCTAGGCCTGGTTGGGGTGCATGCAGGAGGCAACCAATCAATGTGTTTCTCTCACATCCATATTTCTCAGTCTTTCCCTCTCTCTTCCACTCTCCCTAAAAATCAATGGAAAAATATCCTCAGGTGAGGATTAACAAAAAGAAAAAAAAAGAACTATACCTAAAAAAAAGAAGTTTTATGATCAAGAGTTTGGAAAAATAGCTTGATAATCACTATGTACATTATAAGTATTATTATTATTATTATAAGTATTATTACTTATAATATTATATATTACATATTATAATATATATTATAATAATTATATATTATAATAATTATTATAATTATTATTTTATATATTGTAATAATTATTATTACTTAGTATTATTATAAGTATTATTACTATTAAAGGCTCTGAGAAGCAATTCTATAAATTTGTTTAACCTTTTAAACTCAGAATATCCGAAACTTGTCTACAACCCATTTCTTCCAAACTCCTTTAGCAACTATAAGATATTAACATCTAATGAAAATAGTATTTTGAAAAATACACACTAGGGCAATGCTGGTCTAATGGAATAAGCTTATATTATTACTAGAGACCCGATGCAAGAATTCATGCACTGGTGGGGTCCCGCTGGCCCACCCCAATCAGAGTGTGTGTGTGGGGGGAGTGACTGGGGGTGGGGCTTGCCGGGGGTTAGGGGGGAGAGGTTGCAGGCAGTTGGCCAATCGGCAGCAGGGCTGGCCAGGGGGCGGGGACACGAGAGGTTAAAATGGCTGCATAATAATAATTTTGATGTAATAAAGAGGGATAGAGGCAAATTCTGTCCGGGAGGGGGGGCTGGGACGGGGGGCGGGGGTAGGCCTTGGGCAAATGGCCAGCCAGCCCCGCCCCCTGGTCCAACTCCCAGTGGAGGAAATAATTTGCATATTAGCCTTTTATTATATAGGATTATTATTATTATTGATTTTAGAGCAAGAGAGGAAGGAAGAGATAGAGAAATATCAATTTGTTGTTCAACTTACTTATGCATTCATTGGTTTATTCTTGTATATGCTCTGACCCAGGATCGAAACCTCAACCTTGGTGTATCGGAATGATGCTCTAACCAACTGAGCTACTTGGCCAGGGCCTCATTGTTTTTTATTTTTATCTTATGATTTTCCTAACAAGATTCCTGGAGGAAACTCATAAGAATCCCCTTTCAAACAGTCATGTAACATAACTATTACCCATAACATGTAACATAACCTGTAACAAAATATTTTGTTTCAGTATAGTAAGTAAAATGATTTCTTAAACACTAAGAATAACCACAAACTAATTTTTATTTCTTATGGAACTTTTTATGAGGTCATAATTTTTTTTAATTTTCAAGATTTACAAATGGTATCAAATTTAAAAAATATATTTTTAATATTATTTCATGAGGAAAAATAATAATCAAAAGGTAAGTTCTCTTAATTCCTTTCAAGATTCAGGAATCACTATAATACTTAAGTTTTATTCCCTTGTACAATATATTAATAATAATCAGTTCTAGGCTAAAATTGCTTTAAAAACAAATGCCTAAAAACAAATCTTACCACTGGGCATTCCCATAATAAAGCATCCTCTATTTTTTCTGATTTGGAGCATTTTGGCATTTCATAAAGTTTTCTTGGCTCTGATGCAACACTGGGAAAAAAGAAAAATAAATGATTAATGATAACTCATCTTAATAACTGAGACAGTGTTTGCTCAGGTTTGAGAATTTTTTTTTTCTATTCAGAGATTTAGACTACCAAAATGCAACTTCCTAGTTTGCTTTCCTCTTCTTAATTATATGTTAATATTTTTTCTGATTATAAAATTCATAATACATATTCATAGAAAAAAATCTTTAAAAAATAATAAAATTTAAATAGATTTATACTGTAAAAATATAAAAAAATAACCACTATTAACATTTGGGTTCATTTCCCTCTACGTTTTCTTTACATACATTTACCTATCTGCAGGTTATTTTCCAAAATAGAATCATGAACATTTACTATGAATATCTTGGTTGAATTCTATGATGTTCATATTTGTTTCTCTAATATTTCTTAATGAAAATTAATTAGATAAAGAGTCCAATTATTTTAGAATGAAAATTAGTGGATTAAAAAAGGAAATACCCTTTAAGGTTTGTTTATTCCCAAAATGCCTTTCAGAAAGGTTGGATAAGTTTATACTTCTGCCAATATTAAACACTACATTTTTTAATGTAAAAAATAGTCTCTTTTAATTTATACTTCTAATTACTACTGAAATGTGCTCGTAGATGTTTTCATTTTTTTAACTGATGAACTTTAAAATTAAACTACTATTTAGACACAATTTTGAGGGTAACAATTTTATTCACCTTTGATGTTTTCCCAAATCAAAGAGAATTTGCCCTAGCTGGTTTGGCTCAGGGGTTAGAGTGTCAGCCCGCAGACTGAAGGGTCCAGGGTTCGATTCCAGTCAAGGGCTCATACCTTGGTTGCAGGTTTAACCCCTAGCCCCAGGTGGGGGCACGTGTGGGAGGCAACCAATCCATGTGTCTCTCTCACATCAACATTTCTCTCTGTCTCTATTCCTTCCTTCCACTGTCCCTCTAAAAATCAATGTGGGGAAAATATATATCCTTGGGTGAATATTAACAAAAAGAGAATTTCACAGGAATGAAAGCAACCTCATATTTGATCCTAACCTATGGGGAAAACACCCCTGAATGCCATACTAAAGAACTTCAATACTATTCACCAACAATGCCATTTCCACTGATTTTCTTTTTTTTTTTTTTTAATATATTTTTATTGATTTCAGAGAGGAAGGCAGAGGGAGAGAGAGATAGAAATATCAATGATGAGAGAGAACCATTGATCGGCTGCCTCCTGCACGCCCCACACTGGGGATGGAGCCTGCAACCTGGGCATGTGCCCTGACTGGGAATCGAACTGTGACCTTCCTAGTTCATAGGCCAATGCTCAACCACTGAGCCACACCGGCCGGGCTCCACTGATTTTCTTTAAAAATTAAAACAGATACCTCTAAATTGGGAAAGTTATTTTAAAAAAAGGCATTAAATGAAACTGAAGAATTACTGCTCATTTTGATAGGTCTGATGACATTATGATCATACAAGAAAATGTCCAGATTGCCACTGGCAGCATGATAACATGAGGAGCTCTGTGGGTGTGCTCCCAGGAAAACTGGTGGAAATTATAAAAGGTCAACTATTTTAAAGTCTCTGGAAATGGTCCTAGGGGCATACAGCAAATGAAGAAATATTTAGTCAAGAAAACCCACTAGAAGTCAGTAAGAATAGTGAGCTTGTGGTCACTGAACTAGGATGTGCTCCCTCCCTGTTGTTCTCAGCTCAGTAAGACAAAAACTCCACCCAGACTGACAGAGCCAAGAGCACTGGCTCCCTCTACCCCAGCTCCCAGAGGGCTACCCTCCTGAGGGGCAGCATTTATTTCCTGCCCCACCTGCTTGTTGCTGGGACTCAGTCCTGAATGAGTAAAGTCAAGAGGTGGGGTTCCCTTCTGCCTAGCGCCTACCCTTGTTAGAGGTTCTACCTTGCACATGGCATGTCTAAGAACATTGGAGCCTAGATTTGTCTTATCCCATCTCGTAAAGCGTGGTTCCACACGGAGAAAGTAAGAAGACCTGAGGCTAATGCCTGCACCAACCTCAAGTGCTCAGCTGTAGAGTATAGTCACTCAGAGTGAAGCCTTCCATTGACCCCACCCCACTCCCAGCAGCACCAGAGCCTTGACTCAAAGATTTTGCCTCGGGGAAGAAAGAGTCTTGAAGCAGATAGCTGCCCGTCTGCAACAGTCTGGAGAAGTTCTAGCCTAAGCGCATTCTCAAAACCCACTGAAGATTGTGATGAAAGGCAAATGGAAAGAGAGTGGTAGATTCACTGGCCATCCAGGCTAAACTGCAAGCAGGCTAACTTGCCATAGAGAACCAGAAGGATTGCTGGGAGGAGCTCTCCTGAGTCAGAACAAATTTAAAACACTACCTAAAAATCATCCTAACTTCTAGTCTGGTCCAACATGTAAAGAGCTTAGAAGTCATCCCACCTGTCCTCACCACAAGAAAATGAACAAACTGAAAATCAACGACTCTTGTATCCATCAAACAATTGAGGTTGCAGGGCAAACTGCAGCTCCCAACACTGGAGAGAGAGATGGATACCAAGAATCACATCTTACTGGGAGCAAAACCCAGGAGCAAGCTGCTGGAGTCAGTACTGGGGAGAAAAAAACAAGGACACTAGAAGAAATTGTAGCCTCTGACACCTTCAGCTACAGCAAATAAAAAACACAGCCTAGTCAAACCGGTTTGGCTCAGTGGATAGAGCGTCGCCTGCGACTGAAAGGTCCCAGGTTCGATTCCGGTCAAGGGCATGTACCTTGGTTGCAGGCACATCCCCAGTAGGAGGTGTGCAGGAGGCAGCTGGTCGATGTTTCTCTCTCATCGATGTTTCTAGCTCTCTATCCCTCTCCCTTCCTCTCTGTAAAAAATCAGTAAAAAATATTAAAAAAAAACACGAAAACAAAAACAAAAACAAAAAAAAACACAGCCTAACTCAAACCTCACTCTAAAGACCTATTTGCCATAATTCCTTTTACCTGATATATCAAATACAACTTTCACCAAAATTACAAGGCATATTAAAATGCAAAATATAAAATTTGAGAGATCCAGTAAGTATCAGAACCAGACTCAGATATGGCAGAGATATTGAAATTCAGGATTGAGAACTTATTGGGATACTGGAATTTCGAACTAGATTGGGACCTTAATGTAATTATGATTAATATACTAAGGCCTCTATGGAAG